TGAAATTCTTATAGAATCTCTGGTCCCTTCCAAAGTATTCTGAAATAATTTATAAGAACTTTTAGATTTCTGACATTTCTTCTTCGAACGCGTTAAAGTGCTGAGACTAAAGAAATTCATAAGCGTTTTAAATTTGGCAGAATTTGAGGAATGACTTTGGGATTCGGCATCCAAAGCATTTGGCGATGTCTTAGAGGCTTTAGATTTCTTCGTTTTATCTTTGGATTTTGTGGTGGAACTAGAATTTTGCTGCTGTAGCTGAAGCTGCTTCTCCAGCCGTAACTGTTGCTGTAAAAGTTCTTGTTTCATTTGTATTACTTCCGGATCGGGTTGAACATCCTGTAGTTTTCTTTGAGCCATTATAGAGTTTTCCGTCATAAAGAGCGGCGCCTCCTTTAAATGGTGCGAATTATCCGAGTCCGAATAGTAAGTGGCAAATGAAAAAGAATGATTTTGTATAGAAGTATTGGGTTCCGTTTGACAATCTTCAAAAGAATTCAAGGTGGAGGAGTTGTGTTGCGAACTATTGGAACTATTGTTTAAGTGAAAAGTGACCATCGAAGATTTACGTGAGGTTTGCTGGGAATTTAGGGAATTATCTTGTGAGGAGTTATTTATGGAGGTTAAAGAATTAAATGGTTCTTCTTGCGAGTGACAAGATCTAAAAGAAGAATTATTATCGTGAGACGTTTGATAATTTTGCTTTAGTTGGGATTTTTCATAGGCATTAGAGGGTTTACGAAAGAAACAGTGTCGCGGGAACTGAGAACCCGAACCATTGCGTTGAAATCTGTAATAGGGAGATTCTGGATCTTCCGATTCCTGCAAATCCTCGGTTAGCTGAGAAGTAGAGTTATACATGGTTAAATTGACACTGGACTTAGAGCTTAAGGGTTCTGCATTATGCCAATTGTTGGTTAAATCCTCCATAGGCTGATTGCCTTGTGTAGTATTCATGCAAGATGTAGAAAATATTTCATCTAAAGACTTTTGTAAAGCAGTATAAAACACCCGATCATAGGTGGGATTATCGGGATTCATATCGCTCAACATTAAAGAACCCTGCTGGGAGCAGGTGGTCAAAATAGGATTCTCTCCCACTAAAGGCGAAATATCGGGTGATATATAAGACAATTGTTGTCTACGGGCCAAAGGCGAAAGACGACTATCTAAAGAGAATTTTTTTCTACCTATAGCAGGACTATTGCCCAAACTATTCGACAATTTCAAATCATTTACAGGACTTTTATCCGGCTGCAAGTTGCTACGTTTAAAGGGGAAACAGCCCACCACTGTGGGAGTTACAGAATCCCTATCGTAATCTTCGGTATTTAAAGGACATTCAAAAGGTAATGGTTTAATAGGTTTTTTACTCAACAAGGTATCGAGACCACCATCATGGGATTTGGTAATCAGATGTTTCTTTTTAATTTTCTTACTACTTAAACGTAAATCATTAGCTTTGTTATAACCAGATATGGGAGAAGTTAAAGTGGTAGAACTAACGGAATTAATGACAAAATTATTTATATTATTGTTGTTGTTATTATTAAGAAGATTATTGCTGTGATGAAAAGCTAATGATGAATTATTACTAGTAGTGGGAGTAGTAGTATGATTAGAATGCATTAGATTATTGCCCTGGTTATTATTTTGTATTAATGTAACAAAAGCTGGATGAACCATGGCCATAGATGCTGTACTACATGTTGTACCTGGTGATGCTAAAGATAACGTTGAGGCAGAGCCTAAAGTGCCTATAGTTTGGATACCTTGTGTCGTAGTTGTACTAAGCTGTTGCATAGAATGTGCATTATGAGGATTATAGCCGTTATTGTTCGGTGATGAGGGTGTGGTATTACTAGTATGTTGCTGTTGTCGTATGGCGGCGGCTTTCTTATCAAGATTGGGAGCACTCTTACTAAACGAAGAGTTACTATTAACATTTGCAGCATGCCATTCAGTCGAATGGATGGCAGTTTGTAGATGACAACGTTCTCGTTGGTGTACCGTGGAGGGACCCCAGGTTTTACCTTTAAAACCATCGGGACTCACTACATGTACAAGCAACAATTATTTTTGCGTCGAAAAAAAAATAAAAAAACCGGGTAAAATGAAATAAAAAGAAAAAATAATACAAAAATTTTAAATAAAAACAAATAAAAAAATATTTAAAATAAGTCAAACAAATTAAACTAAAATATAATAATCTATAAACTTAAAAGGACTACAAATATTCGACAAAAAGGATATATATAAAAACTACTGAAGAAGCGACTAGAGACCAGATAATAGGCCAGAATATAGATTCGTCTATAGTATATACTACATAGCAAGCTATAGCACAGACAAGACTATAATCCAGACTAAACACTATGCTATGGAACAGACTATAGACCAGACTACATACTGTTGTCTCGACTATAAACTACATATCAGACTATAAGGCAGACTAGAACAGAAATCCGTTAAATTTATAGAACAACTTAGGGGGTCAACTATAGAGCAGACTATAAACTGGACTATAGACTAAACTATATACAAGATTATAGACTGGATGATAGACTTGGGTATAGACTAGGCTATAGATTAGACACTGAACTATAGGCTGTAGAATAGACTGTACTATAGACTAGACTGTAAACTACACTATAAACTATATTATTGACTAGCATTTAGACTAGACTATAGGGTAGACTATAGACTCTACCATAGACTATACTATAGACTAGACTAGATTGTAGACTAGACTACGGACTAGACTGTAGACTATACTATAGACTAGACTATAAGCTAGACTATAGACTAGACTATAGACTAGACTATTGGCTAGACTAGAGACTAGACTATAGACTGTAGAATAGACTGTACTATAGACTAGACTGTAAACTACACTATAAACTATATTATTGACTAGCATTTAGACTAGACTATAGGGTAGACTATAGACTCTACTATAGACTAGACCATAGACTATACTATAGACCAGACTATATTGTAGCCTAGACTACGGACTAGACTGTAGACTATACTATAGACTAGACTATAGGCTAGACTATAGACTAGACCATAGGCTAGACTAGAGACTAGACTATAGACTATACTACAGACTAGACTATAGACTAGACTATACTATAGACTATACTACAGACTAGACTGTAGACTAGACTATAGAGTAGAATATAGACTAGACTAGACTATAGACTAGACTAGACTATAGACTAGACTATATACTAGACTAGACTATAGACTACACTATAGACTAGACTACAGACTAGACTATACTGTAGACTGTACTACAGACTAGACTATAGACTAGATTATAGACTAGACTACAGACTAGACTATACTATAGACTAGACTATACTATAGACTAGACTATAGACTGGACTACAGGCTAGACTATAGATTATACTATAGACTAGACTATAGACTTGCTTATATACTAGACTACAGACTAGACTAAAGCCTAGACTAGACTAGACTATAGACTAGACTATAGACTAGACTATAGACTAGACTATAGACTAGACTATAGACTAGACTATAGACTAGACTATAGACTAGACTATAGACTAGACTATAGACTAGACTATAGACTAGACTATAGACTAGACTATAGACTAGACTATAGACTAGACTATAGACTAGACTATAGACTAGACTATAGACTAGACTATAGACTAGACTATAGACTAGACTATAGACTAGACTATAGACTAGACTATAGACTAGACTATAGACTAGACTATAGACTAGACTATAGACTAGACTATAGACTAGACTATAGACTAGACTATAGACTAGACTATAGACTAGACTATAGACTAGACTACAGACTAGACTATAGACTAGACTATAGACTAGACTATAGACTAGACTATAGACTAGACTATAGATTAGACTATAGACTAGACTATAGACTAGACTATAGACTAGACTATAGACTAGACTATAGACTAGACTATAGACTAGACTATAGACTAGACTATAGACTAGACTATAGACTAGACTATAGACTAGACTACAGACTGGACTATAGACTAGACTATAGACTAGACTATAGACTAGACTATAGATTAGACTATAGACTAGACTATAGACTAGACTATAGACTAGACTATAGAGTAGACTATAGACTAGACTATAGACTAGACTATAGACTAGACTATAGACTAGACTTTAGACTAGACTATAGACTAGACTATAGACTAGACTATAGACTAGACTATAGACTAGACTTTAGACTAGACTATAGACTAGACTATAGACTAGACTATAGACTAGACTATAGACTAGACTATAGACTAGACTATAGACTAGACTATAGACTAGACTATAGACTAGACTATAGACTAGACTATAGACTAGACTATAGACTAGACTATAGACTAGACTATAGACTAGACTATAGACTAGACTATAGACTGGACTGCAGACTAGACTATATACTAGAATATAGACTAGACTATAGAGTAAACTATTGACTAGACTGTAGAGTAGACTATTGACTAGACTATAGAGTAGACTATTGACTAGACTATAGAGTAGACTATTGACTGAAGTATAGACTAGACTATAGAATAGACTACTCTGTGGGCTAGACTAAACTGTAGACTAGACTATGGAGTAGACTATAGACTGGACTATAGACTAGACTACAGACTAGACTATATACTAGACAATAAACTAGACTACAGACTAAAATATCTAGACTATTGGCTAGACTACAGACTGAAATATCTAGACTATAGACTAGACTATAAACTAGATTAGATACTATAAATTGGACAAGAAACTAGACTAATAACTTTTTCTTTTCTCCTTTAGTTCAATATAGAGCTACAGTCTGATCCATAGTGGCAAAAATAACTCAGCCTATGGCTGGCTCTAACACAAATATACCTGACAACTTTCGCCTAAAGTTATTTCTCTTTCTCTAATTAACCGGAAAACCCTAAAACTATTACATATTATAAAGTTACATTAATTCAACTTACGTGCCACTATCCTTAGACCCGATATAGCCGGTGAACCCGGTGGTGTTGGCACCACACAATTTTGATCTCTTATTGTCGTTATTGTATGGCGAAATTCCGTTGGCAAAGAGATTTGCACTGGATCCTTTTTAGGTTTAAATTTAAATTTATTACGTCGTTTATTTGGTTTCGGTATCGTTTGAGCTATAATCAATTCACGGCCCATTAGTTCCAGCTCACGGGCACGTAATTGTTGTTCAAATATTTTCAAATTATTGGCCTGTTCATGCTGTTGCATTTGTATAAGACGTAGTTGTTCCTCTTTATTGCGCAGTTCCTGGAAATAAAAGAGAGTGAGAGGAGGACAGGGAAGTTTTATAAATCGTTTGTGAAATTGTTTAATTTAGTTAAAGAAACAAAAATTAAAACTATTATTAACTAAAGCTATAAGTAAAAGCAGAGTTGGATTTAATAAGTTTCATGTTAAAGGAGTTAAAGGTTAAAATTGGCGAGAAAGCTATAGAGATGAAATTAAAAGCAATTTATAAAAATAGTTGTTAAAGAAATCTTCTCAGTATCTTTCTGTATCTTTAGAAAAGTTTTACTAACTACATACATAAACTAATTATGATTATTTTAAAGAAAATTTACAAAACTAATGTTTGAAAAAATGGAAATTTTAAACTGTTTAAGGGGACATTTGGCTCTTACCTCTTCAATAGTTTGAAAGCGCTGTTATGGAGGGGATTTGTTTTTTTTTTAAATGTTGTAGGATTTTTTTAATGTTTAATGTTTTTTGTCAAGTATTTACAAATTTTCAATAATATCCCATGATACCAAATAAAATAAACCACATTATTACAAAAAAGAAAAAACAAGAATATGGAATAGAAGGGAAAAAGGAGCAAAAGAAAGGTTAAATTATATATGACCAGAGTTATGTGTTAAAAAATATATTATTTCTTATAATAAATATGAAGAAAAATGAGTTAAAAAACATTAAAAACTACTAGAAATAAACTAAATTACTTTCTTTATACTTTCTTTATGTTATTAGATATTACAAAAGACAAAAAACACGTCAAATACTAGATAAATATTTATAATAGTAAATTTAGGTATTTTTCTCCAAACTCACCTTTTCTTTTAAGCGCAATTCATGTAAAACTTCTGCAATTTCTTTCTTCCAGCCATCCTGCATAGTGTGAAATGATTCCTGAGGTGTGGAAGTAAAACCGGAACGTGCTATGTCCTCTAGATTACTTAGAATATCTTTGAAACCAGGACGATTATGAGGGTCACTCGCCCAACAACCTTCAAAAAACGTATTATTCATCATTCGAGTGTTTAGTAAAGGTAAGTGTTTCAAAAATCACAAACTTACTTTTCATGAGTTTTCCCCAGGCCTCTGGACATGTTTTTGGTATTGGCAATGTTAGTGTATTGACGGCTACACCATAGGCCACCGATAAGGAATCAAAACCTTTATAGGGTGTTTCACCCGTTATTAGTTCCCATAATAAGACACCATAACTCCAAACATCAGAGGATCTGGAAAAAAGATAAACAATAATTATCAGGATCTACTTAAGTTTTGGTTCAGTTCTAGTTCAGTTCTAATTCAGTCACAGTTCAGTTCTAGTTCAGTTCTAGTTCAGTTCTAGTTCAGTTCTAGTTCAGTTCTAGTTAGTTCTAGTTCAGTTCTAGTTCAGTTCTAGTTCAGTTCCAGTTCTAGTTCAGTTCAGTTCTTTCAGTTCAGTTCTAGTTCTAGTTCAGTTCTAGTTCAGTTCTAGTTCAGTTCTAGTTCAGTTCTAGTTCAGTTCTAGTTCAGTTCTAGTTCAGTTCTAGTTCAGTTCTAGTTCAGTTCTAGTTCAGTTCTAGTTCAGTTCTAGTTCAGTTCTAGTTCAGTTCTAGTTCAGTTCTAGTTCAGTTCTAGTTCAGTTCTAGTTCAGTTCTAGTTCAGTTCTAGTTCAGTTCTAGTTCAGTTCTAGTTCAGTTCTAGTTCAGTTCTAGTTCAGTTCTAGTTCAGTTCTCAGTTTAGTTCAGTTCTAGTTCAGTTCTAGTTCAGTTCTAGTTCAGTTCTAGTTCAGTTCTAGTTCAGTTCTAGTTCAGTTCTAGTTCAGTTCTAGTTCAGTTCTAGTTCAGTTCTAGTTCAGTTCTAGTTCAGTTCTAGTTCAGTTCTAGTTCAGTTTCTAGTTCAGTTCTAGTTCAGTTCTAGTTCAGTTCTAGTTCAGTTCTAGTCTAGTTCAGTTCTAGTTCAGTTCTAGTTCAGTTCTAGTTCAGTTCTAGTTCAGTTCTAGTTCAGTTCTAGTTCAGTTCTAGTTCAGTTCTAGTTCAGTTCTAGTTCAGTTCTAGTTCAGTTCTAGTTCAGTTCTAGTTCAGTTCTAGTTCAGTTCTAGTTCAGTTCTAGTTCAGTTCTAGTTCAGTTCTAGTTCAGTTCTAGTTCAGTTCTAGTTCAGTTCTAGTTCAGTTCTAGTTCAGTTCTAGTTCAGTTCTAGTTCAGTTCTAGTTCAGTTCTAGTTCAGTTCTAGTTCAGTTCTAGTTTCAGTTCTAGTTCAGTTCTAGTTCAGTTCTAGTTCAGTTCTAGTTCAGTTCTAGTTCAGTTCTAGTTCATTTCTAGTTCAGTTCTAGTTCAATTCTAGTTCAGTTCTAGTTCAGTTCTAGTTCAGTTCTAGTTCTAGTTCAGTTCTAGTTCACTTCTAGTTTAGTTTTAGTTCAGTTCTAGTTTAGTTCTAGTTCAGTTCTAGTTCAGTTCTAGTTCAGTTCTAGTTCAGTTCTAGTTCAGTTCTAGTTCAGTTCTAGTTCAGTTCTAGTTCTAGTTCTAGTTCAGTTCTAGTTCAGTTCTACTTACTTGGAGTAGGTACCCCTACTTATAACTTCGGGCGGCATCCAGGCATAAGTACCAGCAGCTGACATCCTAGTGGTATTATATAGTTCACGTGCTAAACCAAAGTCTGTGATTTTTAAGGTTTTCTTATGCAAATTATCGCCCTCGATAGCTTCAAATATTAAAACTGAAAAAAGAAAACACAAAAACATCAACATCAAGTTTAAAAACTTTCCACTCCATTTACTCACCATTAGAACTTTTCAAATCCCTGTGTATCACTGATATTGGTGCTTCATTGTGCAAATAATTCATGCCTTTTGCTATTTGTATGGCCCAATTCACTAGAACGTCTGGTGGTATTTTTCTACCAGCCAATATACGATTCAGACTACCACCTCGAGCAAATTCCATAACTAAACATAATTTGGGAGGCTTAAGGCAGACACCTCTCAGCGAAACTATGTTTTCATGTTTGAGTGCCCAGAAGAGTTTGGCTTCTTGTAAAACACTATCACGCATAGTATCCATATCTTCATCGGCTGTTTGACGGGCTGCCTTAATGGCCACCTCTTCTTTGCGATAGAAACCACGATGAACTTTACAGAAACCTCCTACACCGATTACTTCTCGTATATCGAGTTCTTCGTATTCGATTTCATGCGGTTGTATATCACCAATCGCTGAAGGCACATTTATCATCATGGGATCCTGATTGGTAACGAAATTACTGGGGAAGATGCCGCACTGTTAAAGGGGGAATGAGAAAAGATAATGAAATGTATTGATTATTCATTAAGTATAATTTGGTCTATATATTCAGTCCGTGTTCAGTCTTTGTTCAGTTCTAGTTCAGTTCTAGTTCAGTTCTAGTTCAGTTCTAGTTCAGTTCTAGTTCAGTTCTAGTTCAGTTCTAGTTCAGTTCCAGTTCAGTTCTAGTTCAGTTCTAGTTCAGTTCTAGTTCAGTTCTAGTTCAGTTCTAGTTCAGTTCTAGTTCAGTTCTAGTTCAGTTCTAGTTCAGTTCTAGTTCAGTTCTAGTTCAGTTCCAGTTCAGTTCTAGTTCAGTTCTAGTTCAGTTCTAGTTCAGTTCTAGTTCAGTTCTAGTTCAGTTCTAGTTCAGTTCTAGTTCAGTTCTAGTTTAGTTCAGTTCTAGTTTAGTTCAGTTCTAGTTTAGTTCAGTTCTAGTTTAGTTCAGTTCTAGTTCAGTTCTAGTTTAGTTCTAGTTCAGTTCTAGTTCAGTTCTAGTTCAGTTCTAGTTAGTTCAGTCTAGTTCAGTTCTAGTTCAGTTCTGTTCAGTTCTAGTTCAGTTCTAGTTCAGTTCTAGTTCAGTTCTAGTTCAGTTCTAGTTCAGTTCTAGTTCAGTTCTAGTTCAGTTCTAGTTCAGTTCTAGTTCAGTTCTAGTTCAGTCTAGTCAGTTCTAGTTCAGTTCTAGTTCAGTTCTAGTTCAGTTCTAGTTCAGTCTAGTTCAGTTCTAGTTCAGTTCTAGTTCTAGTTCAGTTCTAGTTCAGTTCTAGTTTCAGTTCTAGTCAGTTCTAGTTCAGTTCTAGTTCAGTTCTAGTTCAGTTCTAGTTCAGTTCTAGTTCAGTTCTAGTTCAGTTCTAGTTCAGTTCTAGTTCAGTTCTAGTTCAGTTCTAGTTCAGTTCTAGTTCAGTTCTAGTTCAGTTCTAGTTCAGTTCAGTTCAGTTCTAGTTCAGTTCTAGTTCAGTTCAGTTCTAGTTCAGTTCTAGTTCAGTTCTAGTTCAGTTCTAGTTCAGTTCTAGTTCAGTTCTAGTTCAGTTCTAGTTCAGTTCTAGTTCAGTTCTAGTTCAGTTCTAGTTCAGTTCTAGTTCAGTTCTAGTTCAGTTCTAGTTCAGTTCTAGTTCAGTTCTAGTTCAGTTCTAGTTCAGTTCTAGTTCAGTTCTAGTTCAGTTCTAGTTCAGTTCTAGTTCAGTTCTAGTTCAGTTCTAGTTCAGTTCTAGTTCAGTTCTAGTGCAGTTCTAGTTCAGTTCTAGTTCAATTCTAGTTCAGTTCTATAGTCATCACTTACCTTATCTCCAATTTTACCAATCCACCAACCCTCATCTCCCGAAACATTTGGATCCATGGATAAACCAACACCACTTGACCCCGTTGCAAAGTCAACTCATCCTCTCCTTGAGCCTCATAATCATATAAAGCTGTCCAAAGACTACCGCCCGGAGGTATACTATCACTCTGTTGAGATTGTGAGTGATGTGAATCGTTGCTCGTTTGTGCAGTCGAAGAAGCCATAACCAATTTTGTGTTATTAGTACTGGTGTTGCTGATACTGCTGCTATTATTGGCTGCCATTATACCGTTTGTATTACCATTTAATGGTTTCTTATAATCATTCGATATACAGCTGACATTATTGGCTGTAGTGGAGTGATGGCTGGAGGATGCTAGTGTGTTGTTAGTGTTGGTATTAGGGATATTTTGTGAGGTGTGTTTATAACCATTGTAGGGTTTCAATTTCGTGTTGTTGGCGGCTGTATTTGTGTTAAATTTATTATGACCATTTAGATTTGAAGTTGAGGTGGTGTTGCTACTGCTGCTGCTGCTGTTGTTGATTGTGTAGGCGACGTTTGCTGCTGCTATAGTAGTTGGCTGACTGGTAGTAGTAATGGTGCTGTTGTTGTTGGTGGTAGTAGCATTATTGTCTGTTTGTTGTTCTTCGCTAATTGCGATCATTTGTGTGACGTTATAATGACGAGCAGGCATTAAATGTTGTCAATATTTTAGAAAAACCAATAAACAGCTACAACTACAGTTCAGTGTTAAAGCGTTTGCTATTTGTTTAACGTTCTGTCTGTCCTTCCCTTAGAGTATGGAATTTTTTTTAAATATATTTTTTTTTTCTTTTACTTCTTTTTTCTTTTGGTATTTCTATTGCTTTTTGGCCAACAAATAGAAAAAAAGAATAAATTTTGAACAAAAAACAAGCTTTCCTTGTTGTTGTTATTGTTTTAGCTAGTTTCTAGCAGAGTTGTTAGTTTGTTTTTGTTTTTCTTACTCTTCACTCTCTGAATTATGTTATTTTAACACTTGATTATAATAGCTTTTGTTGTTGTTGTTGTAGTAGTTGTTATTATTATTGTTGAAGAGCTGCTGCTGTTGTTGCCGCTGTTGTTGTTTTATTATAATTCGTTCGTGTTTTTGTTGCTGCTGCTGTTCGTAAATTTGTTGTTCTTGCTGTTGTTGCTTTTCAATGTTGTTGACACTTTTATAAGCCATGCGTATTTTATAAATTATTATAATTTGTTTTTTTTTTTAGATTTTTCCTTCTTTTTTTTGCACTCTTTGCTATAAATTGTGTTTTTTTAATTGTTGTTGTTATTGTTCTTGTGATGTATCGTTCTAATGTTCTGCTGCTGGTTGTAGACTACATAAGAAACAGAAAAAAAATATATCAAAAATATATATCAAATAGGTACCAGCTACATAATAGCAGCACAGATTTAAAAGTATTAATTCAAGAGGCACAAAAAACAACCGAAAACTCAAAAATCTAAATAGCCACTAAAAGCGTTAAATGTCTCAGCCAAATGAACAACAACTAACTAAACTGATATAGATCATTCTAAAAACTAAACTAAACTATCAGACTATAGACTACATTCCAGATAGTCTAGGCTATAGTCCAGAGTTTAGTCCAGTCTATAATCTAATGTCTAGTATATAGTCTAGTCTATAATCTAGTCTATAATCTAGTCTATAGTCTAGTCTATAGTCTAATCTATAGTCTAGTCTATAGTCTAATCCATAGTCTATAGTCTTGTCTAAAGTCTTGTCTATAGTCTAGTCTATAGTCTAGTATATAGTTTAGTCTAGAGTCTAGTATATAGTCTAGTCTATAGTCTAGTCTATAATCTATTCTATAGTCTAGTATATAGTCTAGTCTATAGTCTAGTCTATAATCTAGACTATAGTCTAGTCTATAGTCTAGTCTATAGTCTAGTCTATAGTCTAGTCTATAGTCTAGTCTATAGTCTAGTCTATAGTCTAGTCTATAGTCTAGTCTATAGTCTAGTCTATAGTCTAGTCTATAGTCTAGCCTATAGTCTAGTCTATAGTCTAGTCTATAGTCTAGTCTATAGTCTAGTCTATAGTCTAGTCTATAGTCTAGTCTATAGTCTAGTCTATAGTCTAGTCTATAGTCTAGTCTATAGTCTAGTCTATAGTCTAGTCTATAGTCTAGTCTATAGTCTAGTCTATAGTCTAGTCTATAGTCTAGTCTATAGTCTAGTCTATAGTCTAGTCTATAGTCTAGTCTATAGTCTAGTCTATAGTCTAGTCTAGTCTATAGTCTAGTCTATAGTCTAGTCTATAGTCTATAGTCTAGTCTATAGTCTAGTCTATAGTCTAGTCTATAGTCTAGTCTATAGTCTAGTCTATAGTCTAGTCTATAGTCTAGTCTATAGTCTAGTCTATAGTCTAGTCTATAGTCTAGTCTAGTTTAGTATATAGTCTAGTCTATAGTCTAGTCTATAGTCTAGTCTATAGTCTAGTCTATAGTCTAGTCTATAGTCTAGTCTATAGTCTAGTCTATAGTCTAGTCTATAGTCTAGTCTATAGTCTAGTCTATAGTCTAGTCTATAGTCTAGTCTATAGTCTAGTCTATAGTCTAGTCTATAGTCTAGTCTATAGTCTAGTCTATAGTCTAGTCTATAGTCTAGTCTATAGTCTAGTCTATAGTCTAGTCTATAGTCTAGTCTATAGTCTAGTCTATAGTCTCTTCTATAGTCAAGTCTATAGTCTAGTCTATAGTCTAGTCTATAGTAAAGTCTATAGTCTAGTATATAGTCTAGTCTATAGTCTAGTCTAGTCTATGTTCTAGTCTATAGTCAAGTCTATAGTCTAGTCTATAGTCTAGTCTATAGTCTAATCTATAGTCTAGTCTATAGTTTTGTCTAAAGTCTTGGCTATAGTCTTGTTTATAGTCTAGTCTATAGTCTAATCTATAGTTTAATCTAGAGGCTAGTCTATAATCTAGTCTAGAGTCTATCCTATAGTCTAGTATATAGTCTAGTCTATAATCTAGTATATAGTCTAGTATATAGTCTTGTTTATAATCTAGTCTATAGTCTAGTCTATAGTCTAGCTTAGTTTAAAGTCTATTATATAGTCTTGTCTATAGTCTAGTATATAGTTGAGTCTATAGTGTAATCAATAGTCTAGTCTAAAGTCTAGTCTATAGTCTAATCAATAATCTAAAGTCTAGTCAATAGTCTAATCAATAGTCTAGTCTAAAGTCTAGTCTATAGTATAATCTATAGCCTAGTCTATAGTCTAGTGTATAGTCTAGTCTATAGTATAGAGTATAGTCTAGTCTATAGTCTAGTCTATAGTCTAGTCTATAGTCTAGTCTATAGTCTAGTCTATAGTCTAGTCTATAGTCTAGTCTACAGTCTAGTCTATAGTCTAGTCTATAGTCTAGTCTATAGTCTAGTCTATAGTCTAGTCTATAGTCTAGTCTATAGTCTAGTCTATAGTCTAGTCTATAGTATAGTCTATAGTCTAATCTATAGTATAGTCTATAGTCTAGTCTAAAGTCTAGATTACAGTCTAGTCTTAAGTCTAGTCTATAGTGCAGTCTATATTCTTGTCTAGTCTAAAGTCTAGTCTATAGTGCAGTCTATATTCTTGTCTAGTCTAAAGTCTAGTCTATAGTGAAGTGTATAAGTCTATAGTCTTGTATATTGTATAGTCTATATTCTTGTATATTGTCTAGTCTATAGTCTAGTCTTTATTCTAGTCTATAGTCTAATGTTTATTCTAGTCCATAGTCTAGTCTATAGTCTAGTCTATTGCCTAGTTTAGTCTATAGTCTAGTCTATAGTCTAGTATATAGTCTGGTCTATAGTGTAGTCTATGGTCTATTCTATGGTTTAGTCTATAGTCTAGTCTATGGTCTTGTCTATAGTCTACAGTCATGTCTACAGTCTAGTCTACAGTATAATCTATAGTATAGTATATAGCCTAGTCTATAGTCTAATCTATAGTACAGTCTATAGTCTAGTCTAAAGTCTAGTATATAGTCAAGTCTATAGTCAATTCTATAGTATAGTATATAGTCTAGTTTATAGTCTAATCTTTATCTGGCCTTTAATCCCATCTACAGTCTAGTCTATAGTATAGTCCAAGAGCTCATTCTATCTCATAATGTCAAGTACATAATTTTCTTTTTAATATTTTTTGCACTTCTCTTAGTTGTTGTTGTTTTTATTTTCCTTTTTTCATACATTTTCTGTAATAACAATAAATGTCAGGTAATATGACAATAAGTACGTGCCGATTTAAGGATTTAATGAAAAAGATATTACAAAACAAATTGTGCTGCTTAAACGCAAATACTACATACATTGTTACGACAAGAAGGCGGCTAACATTAGAAGGAGTGATTAGAGTATTGGTGAGGAGCAAGTTAGGTTAGAGGGGAAGTATACACAACATTTATTATTTTATAATATACAAATTGGTGTTATCTAAGGAAACGAAGATTATTTATTGCGAGTTGCAATTTTTTGTTTTTTTTTATAGAAAAGGGATTTAAAAATCGTTAAAGAAAAACAACTGGTTTAAAGAAAATGAATAATGGTAAATTTATCAATAAAAACGGGGGATTAGAGAGAGGCGGCAAATTGATTTGAATGCAGTAGTATGTACAGTCTATAGCTGAAGTATAGACTAGACTATGGACTAATATATAGTTTATAGACTAGACTAGTTTATAGTCTAGTCCATCTGTTAAATATTCTTTCACTTTTTCTAATAAGTTTTAAAAAAATCTATTTAATTTATAACAAATTTTGAATGCCTGCACTTGTGCACGCCTGCCAACAACCCAATCAGAATATTATGGAAAAAATTGAGTTAGAACAAATAAACAATGAGATTTTTTCGACGTAAATACAAATTGTTATTGTAACACTAGATAGAGAAAAAACAATAAAACAAAAACAATTATTTATTACAAGTATAGAAAAAAATAACCCCAACACTAAACAACAATAACAAAAGTAATCAAATAAATTGCAGTAAAAACATAAACACTACTCTCCTCTCCCCATAAGCATAAATAAATGCATACACAATAACAACAACAGAAAAGCAACAATAATAAAAACAAAAAAATAAAAAATAAACAGACGACAGGCACGAAGCAGCACTCATTTTATACTCGTTTTGTAATAAAAACAAATGTAATGTGTGCTGTTGATCGGATGGATGGCTGAAGGAGGATGGCACAAACAAGAACGAAATAAAAAGAACAATAACAACAACAAGAAAATGTATTTGTAGATAAAATAGAGAAAAATATTTCAAAAAGAAAAAACATACGAAATAACGAAGAATAATAACAAAACAAGATTGACGATATTGAATGAGTTTTTTTTTGTGAGTGTTTTTTGTGTGTTTTTCTTGTTGTTGTTTTTATTGGTTGTATGTTGAACTTCATGTAGATCAGGGATGGAAAATTGAAATAAAATAAAATAAATTGGGTGCTAACTAAAGACTAGACTATATACTAGACTGTAGATTAAACTACATATATACTGGACTATAGACTAGGATATAGACTAGACTGTACTATAGACTAGACAATAGACTAGAGTATAGGCTAGATTATAGATTAGCCTATAGACTTGACTTTAGACTAGTCTATAGAATAGAATATAGATTATACTACAGAATAGACTATAAACTGGACTACAGTTTTAATTATGGAAACATATAGACTAGACTATAGAGTAGATTATAGACTAGACTATAGGCTAAACTATAGACTAGATCATAGACTACCCTATAGACTATAAACTAGACTACATACTTAATTATGGACTAGACTCTAGAATAGACTGTAGACTACAATACAGGCTAGATTATAGACTAAACTATAGTCTAGACTATAGACTAGACTATAGGCTAAACTATAGATTAGATTATAGACTAGAATAAACTATAGACTAGATTAAGACTATAGACTAGGCTATAAACTGTAGACTACCCTATAGACTAGAATATGGACCATAAACTATACTACATCCTTAATTATGGACTAGACTATAGACTAGACTGTAGACTACACTACAGACTAGACTATTGACTAGACTCGGGACTAGAATATAGACTAGACTATAGACTAGATTATAAACTAGACTATAGACTGCATTACATAGACTAGGCTATAGAGTAGACTAAAGACTAGACTATAGACTAGATTGTAGACTAGATTTTAGACTAGACTATATACTAAACTATAGTCTACTTTATAGACTACATTATATATTAGACTATAGACCATACTATGGGCTAGACTATAGACTAGACTATAGATGAGATTGTAGACTACTAGACTGTAGACGATAGTCTATAATATGACTATAGACTTGACTTTAGGTTAGATTGTATTCCACACTGTAGACTATACAATAGTCTAGATTATAGGGACGCCTAAAAACTAGAAAATAGACTAGACTATAGACTGCGCTCTATACTAGACTGTAGACTATATACTGGACCATAGACTAGGCTATAGACTAGACTAAAGACTGGACTATAAACAAGAATTAAGACCGATCTATAGCCTAGACTAGAGAGAAGATTGTAGTCTTATTAGACTGCAATAGATTGTTGGCTGGGCTATAGAATGGACTATAGACTGAATTGTGGGGACGACTTTAGTGTATATATACTATAGACTAAACTATAGTCTAGTTTATAGACTACATTACATATTAGACTATAGACCATACTATGGGCTAGACTATAGACTACTAGACTGTAGACGATAGTCTATAATATGACTATAGACTTGACTTTAGGTTAGATTGTATTCCACACTGTAGACTATACAATAGTCTAGATTATAGGGACGCCTATAAACTAGAAAATAGACTAGACTTTAGACTGCACTCTATACTAGACTGTAGACTATATACTGGACCATAGACTAGGCTATAGACTAGACTAAAGACTGGACTATAAACAAGAATTAAGACCGATCTATAGCCTAGGCTGGGCTATAGAATGGACTATAGACTGAATTGTGGGGACGACTTTAGTGTATATATACTATAGTCTAAACTATAGTCTAGTTTATAGACTACATTATATATTAGACTATAGACCATACTATGGGCTAGACTATAGACTACTAGACTGTAGACGATAGTCTATAATATGACTATAGACTTGACTTTAGGTTAGATTGTATTCCACACTGTAGACTATACAATAGTCTAGATTACAGGGACGCCTATAAACTAGAAAATAGACTAGACTTTAGACTGCAATCTATACTAGACTGTAGACTATATACTGGACCATAGACTAGGCTATAGACTAGACTAAAGACTGGACTATAAACAAGAATTAAGACCGGACTATAGCCTAGACTAGAGATAAGATTGTAGTCTTGACTACAGACTAGAATGTTGGCTGGGCTATAGAATGGACTATTCACTGAATTTTTCTGACGACTATAGAGTAGACTAGTCTATAGACTAAACCAGACCACAGTCCTCAGACTAGAGGCTTAACTATACACTTTATCATAGACTAGACTACACACTGCTCTAATGACAACTTTGTGGACTACTCTTCCATAATTTAGAAAATGTTGTGTCGGTACTGCAGTATGTATTTTGCAATATAAAAAATAACTAAAGTACTAAACTTTCCATGTCTGATATAGACGAAATGAAATGAGTTTTTTTTGGTTGTTGTTGTTTTTTTGCTTTAAAATTTCTCATATGTTTTGTTAAGCAGAAAGAAGCAGCATTATAGCCAGCAGCGGGTGGGGTAGTTTTTTCTTTCAGCAAAAAACATTAAAACTTTATATTTTTTGTTTTTGTAAAATTAAAGAAAAAAACTTCTTTATTTTTATTTAAAATTTAAAAAAATACTTGCGTTTTGTTGGTTCTTCAACTTGGAACAAACCAAATTTTTTATACAATTTTAAGTTTAAATGACACGCCTACATTTATTGATATTTCACAATAATCCTTACGAAAAAACCCAAATTTAAATAGATCAAACTTAGTCTAATGACTGCATCAATGAATTTTTTATAAAAAAATTTTTCTTTTAATCCTTTAAAAACACAAATTTTAAAACTTTTTGCTTTTTATTTTAATAATTTCATTTATGTGTTTATTCCCCACATTTTTTTGCAGCTGCATTTATTTTTCTTCTTTTATATTTATTTTAACATTTTTTAGTTGGATTTTTTCCATTTTATTCCACTTAACACCAAAGACACACACTCACTCTTACTTAAACTCTTTTTATAAAAATATTTACACTCGTGTATCTGAAAAATTACCACAAAAAAAAAACTATCTTTGAAATGCCTCTTAAAAGAAACTAGTTAAAAAAAATTATGCTATTGGTCTTATTACTTGTTTTAATCCAAAAAAATATCTTCTTGCTTGCTTCTTCTTCTTCTCGTTTCTTTTTTCATTGAATTTTTTTTTTGTTCAGCAACTTATTTATTTCATTTGCTTTATTTCGTTTATTTTTCAGTCGTTTTCTTTAGATTTTTTGTTAAGTTTTGATTTTTCTATTTCGTTGTTATTTATTTTATAATTTAAGTTAATATTTTTATCGTATTTATCGAGTTTTTAATGCAAATTTTAATCATTTGCGATTTTTTTCTTTCTATTGGTGTGTGTCGTACTATTTTTTCTTCATTAATTCTCTCAAGTGCCGTTCAGAAAACTGCGCCGACACATACCAACGACGACGGCGGCTTACACAAAAAATAACGCCGTTGGCTTGAAATTGCTAATAAGCCGGCTAAGTAATTAGTTGTATATAAAATTTTTTCACGGTTTAAATAAAAAGAATGTCCTAGTGATTAAAAAGTGGATTTTAGAATATGTACTAGACTTTGGCTTAGAATATAGGATAGACTAGAGAGTAAACTATAGACTAAATTAAAGAATGACCTATACACTATCCAGTAAATCTTACAAAATGTCGCAAAACGTTTTAAGACTTTTTAAACTGACAAATTTTCGTCAATAATAACTTTAAAACGTCTTCGGCGGCTAGGTTTATACGGTATTAAGACGAACCGCCGCTGGTCTTTGGTGTCATTTTCCAGTTTATTCGTTTTCGCTCTTTCTTATGCTCTCTTTAAAATATTTTTCATATTAACACAGGGTTGTATTTGGACAATATACAGGTCTGCTACAACACAGGGTGACTCTCAAAAGTAAATAATATAAAAAAATGCAAATAAATAAAAGAAAAGAATCTATCGGGCACTGGGTTAAATCATAAACAAGACATTAAGAAACTAGATGATAGACTACTCTATAGGCTAGACTATAGACTAGACTATTGACTAGACTACAGCCTAGACTATAGACTTGACTATAAGCTTGACTATAGACTAGACTATAGACTAGACTATAGACTAGACTATAGACTAGACTATAGACTAGACTATAGACTAGACTATAGACTAGACTATAGATTAGACTATAGACTAGACTATAGACTAGACTATAGACTAGACTATAGACTAGACTATAGACTAGACTATAGACTAGACTATAGACTAGACTATAGACTAGAGTATAGACTAGACTATAGACTAGACTATAGAATAGACTATAGACTAGACTATAGACTAGACTATAGACTAGACTATAGACTAGACTATAGACTAGACTATAGACTAGACTATAGACTAGACTATAGACTAGACTATAGGCTAGACTATAGACTAGACTATAGACTAGACTATAGACTAGACTATAGACTAGACTATAGACTATATAGACTAGGCTATATAGACCAGACTATATAGACTGGACTATAGACTAGACTATAGACTAGACTACAGACTAGACTATAGACTAGACTATAGACTAGACTATAGACTAGACTATAGACTAGACTATAGACTAGACTATAGACTAGACTATAGACTAGACTATAGACTAGACTATAGACTAGACTATAGACTAGACTATAGACTAGACTATAGACTAGACTATAGACTAGACTATAGACTAGACTATAGACTAGACTATAGACTAGACTATAGATACTATAGACTAGACTATAGACTAGACTATAGACTAGACTATAGACTAGACTATAGACTAGACTATAGACTAGACTATAGACTAGACTATAGACTAGACTATAGACTACTATAGACTAGACTATAGACTAGACTATAGACTAGACTATAGACTAGACTATAGACTAGACTATAGACTAGACTATAGACTAGACTATAGACTAGACTATAGACTAGACTATAGACTAGACTATAGACTAGACTAGACTATAGACTAGACTATAGACTAGACTATAGACTAGACTATAGACTAGACTATAGACTAGACTATAGACTAGACTATAGACTAGACTATAGACTAGACTATAGACTAGACTATAGACTAGACTATAGACTAGACTATAGACTAGACTATAGACTAGACTATAGACTAGACTATAGACTAGACTATAGACTAGACTATAGACTAGACTATAGACTAGACTATAGACTAGACTATAGACTAGACTATAGACTAGACTATAGGACTAGACTATAGACTAGACTATAGACTAGACTATAGCTAACTATAGACTAGACTATAGAACTAGACTATAGACTAGACTATAGACTAGACTATAGACTAGACTATAGACTAGACTATAGACTAGACTATGACTAGACTATAGACTATTACTATAGACTAGACTATAGACTAGACTATAGACTAGACTATAGACTAGACTATAGACTAGACTATAGACTAGACTATAGACTAGACTATAGACTAGACTATAGACTAGACTATAGACTAGACTATAGACTAGACTATAGACTAGACTATAGACTAGACTAGACCTATAGACTAGACTATAGACTAGACTATAGACTAGACTACTATAGACCTAGACTATAGACTAGACTATAGACTAGACTATGACTAGACTATAGACTAGACTATAGACTAGACGATAGACTAGACTATAGACTAGACTAGCTAGACTATAGACTAGGACTATAGACTAGACTATAGACTAAGACTATAGACTAGACATAGGACTAGACTATAGACTAGACTATAGACTAGACTATAGACTAGACTATAGACTAGACTATAGACTAGACTATAGACTAGACTATAGACTAGACTATAGACTAGACTATAGGACTAGACTACTAGGACTAGAGACAGACTATAGACCTATAGACATAGACTAGACTATAGACTAGACTATAGACTAGACTATAGACTAGAATATAGGACTAGACTATAGACTAGACTATAGACTAGACTATAGACTAGCCTATAGACTAGACTATAGACTAGACTATAGACTAGACTATAGACTAGACTATAGACTAGACTATAGACTAGACTATAGACTAGACCTATAGACTAGACTATAGACTAGACTATAGATAGACTATAGACTAGACTATAGACTAGACTATAGACCTAGTCTATAGACTAGACTATAGATAGACTATAGACCTAGACTATAGACTATACTAAACTAGGCTGTAGTTTAAAATAAGTATTATCCATATGTTTGCTGCTTTTTTTATCAAATGTTTTAACTACCTTAAAAATACAACTCTGTGTGCAAATTACAGTTACTTTTCTTAGTAGTTTTTGCTATTTGGTATGGCATCTCCTTTTTAATGTGAATATAAACAACAGAGTTGATTTATTTGGTATAAAGTTTATTTCGAATAGGAAGTAGAAATAACGGGTTTAAAGGTAAAATGTGATGAGGATAACAATTATTTAAGGATTTACTCAAGGATATTTAAATTGTTTAGATTTTTTAAGTTTTGTAATAAATAAAAGATGTTTTTGTGTTGTGTTAGAATCATATGTTTTGTAGAAGGACATTTAGATTCCACAGTGAAATAGAGATAGCGAGAGAGAGAGAGAGAAAAAGTAAGAGTAATAAGTGGAGTTAGTTAAGAGTAAAGTCTCCATTTTTATAATATGTGTAAATAGCGGTAATTGTATGTTTTTCTTTATAGTATATACAGCATCTTTTGGAAGAGAGTAGGAAAAATTACACTCTTTTGTTTTTTTTTTGATATTTGTATTGTTGTTGTTTTTCCTGTGGAGGATACACATGTATATATCCTGTTTGAGCATCCATTGTAATATGAGTGCTGCTGCTATACAGTGTTTTGTTGTTGTTGTTGTTTTTAAAAAGAATCTGTATTTCTGCCACTTTTGCCCATTAAAAACTTTCAGTTACGCGCAGACTTTCGGATTAAACGTGTTCGTGAAAAATTTTACTCTAATAAAACGTTTCAATAAAATTTGTTTAATAAAATAAAAGGAAATTTTTTTTACTTTCAATAGAAGAAAAAATACAGAAAAAATTATGGAAAATTTTTTGTTAAAAAATTAATTTATGAAAATAAAAAGTAAAAAGGAAATTTGTTTTAAAGAATGAGAGTGTTTAAATGATTACAAAAAATTTATGAAAAAAGAAAATCTGTGTGGAAAAATTTCTTATTAAAGCTTTAAAGAGTGGGTGTTATAAAATCTAAAAAAAAAAATCACGTTTAACTGGCGTTTTTTTTTTCACATATTTTCTGCAGTCTTTCATGACGTTTAACAAACAATGTTACAAAATATTTTAGATGAAAGAAACCTCCCAAATGTGTATTTTATAATTTTGCAAAAATATAAAATATAAAATAGACCTAACAGCTTTTAAATTATAAACTTGACAATATTTTGCATATGAATTGCAAAAGAGAAAAAAAAAACAAACTACAAAGAAATTTTCAAACCCTAGAGATAAATTGAAATGTTGCCATTAATTAGCTAAAACCAAATAAAATAATATAGAACTCAACAAATAGAAAATGAAAAAAAAAAAAAAAAAAATGGGAAAAAATTTGCCTTGACACTAATACAGACAAATGAAGTAGCTAAATGTTATGACATTAATAATTGAACAAAATTTGAAAATTTTTTAAGTTTTAGTTCAAAATTTAGTAATAAAAATGTTCAATTCTCTTTAATATTTATAATTTCTAAGAAATTTTAATGAAATTTAATATTTTGAGATAAAAAAGAAAATTCGAACATAAGTTCGAAAATTTCGAACTTGAGCAAAAGTTAAACAAATTTGTTTAAAACTTATTTTTTTAGATGGAAATGTAATTATTAGCAATTTTTAAAGATTTTTCTATTTTTTGGGATTTTCAAACTTATGTTCGAATTTTCGAACTTAGGAAAAAACCAGCAAAAATGGTTTTTAAATAGTATTAAATGTTAAAAATACAATTATTTAAGGTTTTTTAAGAGTTTTGGACAAATTCAAATTTTCGAATTTAAGTTCGAATTTTCGAACTTAAGTTCGAATTTTCGAACTTA